CAAACCGTCCAACAAAACATGTTAAAGAAATGATTATTGTTTTCATCCTGTCTCACAAATCACCCCGATGCTAACACTCACATCTGCCTCTGAGAGATGTCTCCTCTGTCCTTGTCTATTCTCCTTTTCCTGGACTCGTTCATGTTTATTTTACTGTTATTACTATTTTGAGTATTTGTTATTTTCTCAAGGACATTGGTTTTCAAAAGTGATTGGTTTGTGTGGACGTCGCCGGTCTCATGTCCGTGGGTTCTATAATATCAAAGATTGCATCTGTATATTTCCTGGTGTCTCGCATCTCTTTGTACAATACAGACCAGAGACATATGAGCTGCTATTTTGAGAGCAAGCAATAAACATATGAACATAGCCATTTATTAACTCATTGACTGCCTGCCGTTTTTGATGATTTCACTGATTCTCAAGATCCATAGAATATTATTTCCTGAGACTATGTGAAATGTGAAACCAGATTCCGAAAGACTGGATTGTCTACTTTAATCAGCAAAAATAAGTTTGTTTTTAGATATTTTTATTGTCCTGTAATCCCCAGTCGAATATAGGGTACAAGAGAAATTTGTCAATGGCAGTCAATGAGTTAAAGAAGATACTGTATATTGAAGTTCTGCTGAATAATATTGAATAAATTAAATATACAGTACATGTTAATATAAAATAGAGCTCTGGTTCACAGCGGGCAAAATGCTTCAGAAATCTGTTTCAAAAGATTCACTTCAATTTCAATTTACAATATTTGTGTATGGTGCTTGACCACAACAGCAGGCGCCTCGGAGGACTTTACAAAGTTGTGGATTTGCCAACAGTAGATCAGAGAATCAAACACACAGTTCAATAGGAGCACAAGCACACAGCAGCCATTGGTCCATAAATGACCTTTCAAAGTCCTGAATCATCAACTTGGGAAAAACCCAGTGGGAAAAACCATGGATCTGTAATAATATCTGGATAGGGTATTACTAGCTTATGGCTGTCCCACCAACGGACTCAGGGGGCGTCCACAGTACTGCAGACTAATTTCATGTGGGATACCCATAGACTGCCGTTCCATCTAATGTGCCACAACTTTACTATGGGCAGTTTCAAAATGGCCGCGGGGGCTGGAAAATGGGAAAAAAACGCATCGGCGCATGCGTCAGCTGCACGAGCCCCATTTATTTAACGAGTGCCTTCAAAAATTCACAGCGACAAAATGGAGTAATGTGGAACAAAGCTTTGGGCCAAGAGTTTACTTTTGGACCATCCTGTAAAGACGTTTTGGAGAGGTCAGCTAATGCTATATGTTAGCATTGAATTATTCTCATTCCGGGTCCAACCCTCTGGCCCGGGGTGGTATTGCAAGGGACCCGCCCCCACTGGAGATACCCAGAAAAAAGTGCCATAGAACTCAATGTAAATTAAAAAAGCTCGACCTCAGCTGACAGAGAACCTACAGCTTTCATAAAGGAGGATTTTAGTGTCCCTTCTCATCCTGAACTCTTTTTCTTGTTAAATCATTCGGTTTTCTATACATCCACACTTTAGAGCAACAACCTCTGCTTGATCGTCTCCCGCTCTAGCTCCCGCTCTAGCTCCCGCTCTAGCTCCGCTCTGATCAGCAGCACTGATTGGTCAATGCATGGCCGAGCCCCTACGCGTATTAAGCACACATGCGTTAAGCATCATGGGAGCTTGTCTACAGCGCAGAACCGGGAGGACCAGACAATGCCCGCTAATCTTTCAGTCCCCCTGTATGTCACATGCACTACTGACCACAAGCCATTCATTTGAATAGGGCGCCATCTTGGATCAACGGGGCTTGGAAAAAAGGGAGACATTTTGGGGGACTCAAATGGATGGAAGATCATTAAAATAATAAATATTCACAGTACATTTAGTGTGAAGATACGATCCTTCAGTTGCAGCACAGATAAACAGAACTGCTTTTAACCTGGATTCCAACATTGTCAGAGAAGCAACCTGTCTCACATTTATGGACATTTAATAACGTTTATGGAGAGTGGTAATCTACCCTCTTTTACCAATGACTCCTACTTGTTTGTTATTATTGCCTTTCCGGTGTTTGATTCTCTAGTCTGTTGTTGGCGAAACGATAGAGCGGAGTCAGAGTGGGAGACGTTCAAGCAGAGGTTGTTGCAGTAAAGTGTAGATTAATAGAAAACCAAAGGATTTAACACAAAAAACGGTTCAGGACAATAAGGGACACTAAAATCTCTACAAAATCTGACCTTTATGAAAGCTGTAGGTTCTCTGTCAGGTTCTCTGTCAGGTTCTCTGTCAGGTTCTCTGTCAGGTTCTCTGTCAGTTGAGGTCCAGCTGTTTTAGTTTACACTGAGTTCTATGGGACAGTTTTCTGGGTAATGTGAATTTAGTCTGCAGTACCACTCTATCCAGATATTGTATAGATCCATGCTTTAGCGTAATTGCAAGACGAAGCTAATTTTCTACGCTAAGTCATATCGTTTGTTTGTGTAGAACTAGAAACATGGAAGACTTCTCTCTCTTCTCCGGGAGGTCTGGGGAGCACAGAAGCCGTGCAGAAGATAAATGAAACAGTAATCTTTATTTATTTATTTATATACCGCCTTTCACAGACCAGAGTCACAAAGCGGTCTACAATTGTTATTTTTATTTGTTATTTTTTTTTTGGGCACTTGTCCTCTCACTCCACACAGAGATGGGAGCGGGGTCGCCAGTACAGGAGGCGCATGCCAGACCTATTGTACATATTTTTAGTGGTAGGGGAAACCGGAGTACCCGGAGGAAACCTACGCAGACACGGGGAGAACATGCAAACTCCACTCAGAAAGGCCCTGGTCCGGCCGGGATTCGAACCCAGGACCTTCTTGCTGAGAGGCGAGAGTGCTATCCACTCAGCCACCGTGCCGCCCAACAACACCTCGAGGCGTGTGTCTGATCCTGGAGAAGTGTTATAACCATATATCGTGGTCAAAGGCTCAGAGAACTGTCAGTTTTACATCTCCCATGTCCCGTAATAAACCTGCTGTGCTTCTTGACCTGTTCTGCACATGTGAATCCGCGACAGAGCAGAGACAAAGCAGAGACACGCCGTCAATTATTACCAACGTGACTGAACAGAAGCCTCTGGAAGCCACTGTTAATTGGGCTGTAAATTCTGCTTCACTTTTAACTCAAGGACATAGAATCGCCCATGTCTAGTAAAGTTTAGACAGTCCCGGATGGCTTCAAACGCATCAAACGAACCACTCTGTCTTTGTCAATTACGCAAGGACGTGACCGCAAAGGATGTATGGGGGATTATTACGAGGCTTTACGTGACTTTGCAGCGGATCCAGAGATCTTTAAGAGTCATGGACGCGGTGAACTTGAGTCAATCAGCAGAACTGTTTTTGAATAATTGCATAGAAACCTGTGGTGAAATATTGACAGGGAATATAGACAGGTTGGGTAGGATGGACAAGGGATAGGAGCAAGACTTTATCCATAAGCGCTTCACTGTCAAGCTTCAGGATTCTACTTATTTCAATTCATTCTTGTATCGCCCCAAATCACAACAGCAGTTTTCCCGGTCGACTTTACAAAATCTTTGCATTCGCCAACACAAATCAGAGAATAAAACCCTTTTAAAGCAAGAAATGCAATGAGAGAAACCCCATAGAGACATTGGTCCATAAGGATCAGAGACCAATGTCCATAAATGTCAATAAATGTTGTTGTGTAGCATTAGCATTAGCATTCCTACATACAGTACAGCAGGGGCCTCCAACCTGTGGCTTGGGAGCTGCCTGTAGCTCGCCGCCCGCCTTTTTGGTAGCTCCCCAAATGCTTTATAAATTAACAAATAAAATGTCAGTATATATTCAGTTCATATGCTCCCAACTACTGAATGTATAATGATACATACACAAAACCTAATCTCAGACTCGCACTAAAAGGCTTTCAGTTTTCTCAGGAGGGCTTAAAGGAGAAGCTCTCTGCCATTTTTGTCCCGAGAAAGTAGCTATCCAGGTGAAAAAGTTTTGAGACCCCTGCAGTCAAAGATTGTTGGATATATCTCTAAATAGTAGAACTACCATGAGTTCCAGTCTTTATCAGTAGATGGATAGGTTTTTCTTCTGTCCCCATCAAACTTGAACCCCATTTTTCAGGTTTAACGATTTATCATCCCATGGTCACATTTAGGGGGAGAACACCAGTTTATTGTGACTAAATAGAATAGTTTTCAAACCAGTGCAGGATCCACAAAAGTTTTTATAACCAGTATTTGGTATTTGTATAGCACAGTCTGCACAAGGCAACTCAAAGTGCTGAACAAAACTGGAAATGATCACACATCCATCCATCCATCCATCCATTTTCTACCCTTTAATCCATTTCTGGGTCAGGGGGGTGGCAGTCAGAGATGCCACCCAAGTCTCATAGCACCAGCCCCTCACTGATCCTCTGCAGGTGGTGAGTCCACAGGAGGACGGCTGCTCTCTGAGTGTGAGCATAGCCTTGATCTTTCAGTGGGGGCTTTGGGCAAAGTGGGGTTAAGTGTCTTGCCCAAGGACACAACGACAGCAGTCATCAGTGGGAGTCGGTGGAGAAGGTGCAGAGGTGGGAATTGAACCCACGACCTTCTGGGCTTAAGGCCAATGCTCTACCAACTGAGCTACTGTCGCCCATGATCTCACAATGAATTAAAAATGAACAGTCACTGTACATTTAAAACATACTGTATATGCAGCAAAACAGACTGTGTTTAATCTGGATGTAAATATTGTCAGAGAAGAAGCCTGTCTCACATTTTCAGGAAGATTGTTCCAGATTATAGCTGCATGAATCTGAAACGCTGCCTCTCTCTATTTATTCTTGACTCTGGGCACAAGCAAGAGGCCAGTCCCTGTGCTCCTCAGAGTCCCAGCAGGAGGCCAGTCCCTGTAACCACTATTCTCTTCTTACAGTTTCTCCTCTGACAGTTTCTCTCTCCCTCACTGATGTAAAGCTGCAGTGTTTACCTGACAAAGGTCATGGTCCCGGTCTCTGCGTTCCAGTCCTGCAGTTTGTGGTCAAAGTTCAGTTTTGCGTTCGCGTACGTTTCAGCCTCTGACACAGACAAAGGAAAACAGAGAGTTACAAACAGAGTTGGAGTCTATTCTGTAGATGACATGACCCATGTACAGTTGTTGCCAATATGGTGCTATTTAATAATAAAAATAGTAATAATAATATTTGTTGGAGCCATTTTGCTGTGTTTTCCTTTGCTACCTCCTGCCACAGTGTGGCGCCACCTCTCAGTGGTATGCCCTATATAGGTGTGGCCGCTACAATATTACTATGGTGTCTTATCTATCTGGCTTGACTTGGTTTCTTTGCATAATCAGTGATAACAGATAGAGAATGATCAGACTCTGCTCGGCTATAATAAAGAAAGGTATAAGGCAGAATATATCAGTCTAATTCTGGCCAAACATGAGCCTGGGTCTTTAAAACAGATCCAAAGGCATTATTTGGTTGTGGATAATTAAACCTGTTTTAGTTAAGGTTATTTGATTTTTTATTTTTTTAATATAGTCGCTTTTGAATTGGAACCTGTAGGTTTCTGTAAATCTCTCTGACCTGTCTCTGCAGTTTGGTCTGTGTTTGTCAGAACCAGTGATGTCACCTGTGAGCAGCTGCTTGTTCAGATTAGCTCGATCCACCGACAGAATGTACTGGAAAGAAACAAGACATGAGTAATAAAGTTATGTTCAAACTCTATATACAGTATATCACACCATTTAGAGTCTTTGATAAGTGTAAATTTTGTCAACCCTCTCAGGGCCCAATCTCATGTGACAGGAAAAATCGGACATTTGGGAAAAATTATCTTATGGGGTCAAAATATAGTACAATCTGGATTTTTTTTTAGAGAGAGACCTTCACAGGCAATACTGACTTGAAATTGATGCTTAAGGAAAGAAGCTATTGCATCTCGGTGAACGATATCTTCTGCCAGAGGGAAGAAGCTGGAACATGTTTCTCAGGGGCCAGAAGAGTCATTGATTATTCTTAGAGCTGGATTTAAGTTTTTAGAAAAGACGCGTTAGCAGCATGAGGTACGGGCTAAAGTAATAATAATACAGCACTTCTTTGGACACTCAAAGACACTTCACATGTCATTATTCATTCACTCCAAACACAGTGGTGATAAACTACTACTGTAGCCACAGCTGCCCTGGGGCACACTCCTGAGGCCCTTTCAACCACCACCTTCCATTCACACACACACACACAACAGACTCATTCCTGGTGTTCCCGGAGGTTAAGTGTCTTGCAAAGGACACAACGACAGCAGACATCAGTGGGAGTCGGTGGAGAAGGTCTTGTGGCGGACTCGAACCCAGATCCTTCAGGCTCAAAGGCCAATGCTCTGCCAACTGAGCCACTGTCGCCCTGATGAATGTTATAGATATTCGAGTATTTTGTGGATTGAAAGTATGGTACCACAGTTTTAGTTTAACAGTCCTCTCTGCTACATCCAGAGCAGACGAAACATCCTGTATCTATAATCTCCTGTCACCTCTGAAGTCTGTCACTGCAGAGGGAGAGTGAGTGGGCAGCGCAATTACCAACAGCCGTTATGTCGCTGATCATCTTTGGAGCAAATTAGCAGAAAACGTATGAAGAGCAGCCAAACCTTTCTCCATTATGCCTCAGAGTCGCCCACGGAGCGGTTGTCGGTTTGATCTATATTAACATAATGATACCGTGTCCTTCGGCAAGACACCCACGTACGGTACATGAGTGTCTGCAGAGCTTATTGTCGTCCTTTCAAATGCTCTTATTTTTACCCCAGAGTGATTCCCAAACACAGTGGGGCTAGCATCCAGAGCTGTACCTAAAAGATTTTATATTTTGTTTTGATCATAATCATCAATATCATTATCATCGTTATCAAAAAACAGTTGCCTTTGCCTCACTGCTGCTTACTATAATGTGTGTGAGCTGGTCTTTTCAACATGAATTCATGCCTGTAAAGTTTTCATTAGTTTGACTTCATGCAGGCGATAATGGAAATCCAAATAAATATGTGACTAAACTTTCCCACACTATTGGCTGGAATTCTGGCCCAGTACTCCGGACATACATTTTTTTAAAGCTGAGGTTCAGACCAACTCTTTCCCCCTCATCTCACTTCGCCTTCTCTCCGGTCCAGTCCTACTACACAGTGCTGCAACCCTCCTCCTCCCCGTCACCTCCACATCCAGTATAGCCGTGTGTCTTACTTGTCCCTTCTTGCCGTAGGGGATGGGAGACTGCTTTCCGTCCGGTGTGTGGATCATTCGGGCGTGCATCGGGATTCCCTGAGACACAATCTGAAAAGGACACAGAACGATTTTCAGTTTTACATCCACAGATCAACAGGCAATTCTGTGGCAGAGAGAGAGTTCAGAGAGATGAGCGCGACAATAACTCAAGGAAATCTGAGGCACTCTTGACTGAAAATAAGAATCCTTTAATCTTCTGTCTTTAGCAAAATAAGGAAATAAGTCTAAAATTTAGCATGATGAAGAAGAAAAACCCCTGACTTTAGCATTATTTTGCTTCTTCTCAGGCTAAAGTTGGAGATTTTAGACTTCTTTCCTTATTATGCTAAAGAACAGAAAGAGATTGAATACTGCTTCTTTTTATCCTAGAGTTAGACATTTTATTTTATTTTAATTTAGTAAAGTGTTAGGGTTGGAGTTAGATTTAGAGTTATTATTCATTTATCTTGTGTTTTTTTTATTTTATTTTTTTACCTAAATTAAACCAGCAAAGTCCCATTGAGATTAAGAATCAGTAGATTAACCATTAAGAAGCTGAATTTAAAGGAAGCAAAATACTTTAAATCTATTGCAGTGTCTCCCAAAGTGGGGTCCGCGGCCCCCTGGTGGGCCGCGAGGGTACTGCAGGGGGGCCGCGGGAGGTCATAAAAAAAATAAAAAAATAATATAATTATTTAATGTTAAATTTATAATGTTTTGTTTGTAATATTAAAATATTTGTGTTCATTATTTGACTTGAATAATCCACTGTAATCATTTTTGTATTACAATGTTTGTAGCAGAGGCTATTTCCCCAAAATAAAATAACCAGAAGAGCCTATTCTTAATGTTGTCTTCTTGGTTATTATTTTGGGGGGCCACGCAGACCCGTCAGATTTTTAAGGGGGCCTCGGTGTTACTGAGTTTGGGAATGGCTGATCTATTGTATACAATTATGAGTCTTTAACATTACATTTGTTTACTTGTTTGTTTGTCGTTTGAGCTGGAAATGGCAGCAATTGGCAATGGCATGCTTCTATTTGAAACCAATAGGCCTTTTTGTAATGTAATCTAAATCGTAAAAAAAACGTTTGCCTATTTTTTGTCTAATGGTCATAACAGTGGATTAGTTGGTAGAGCATTGGCCTTTGAGCCTGAAGTGGCATCTCTCTGGCCACCCCCCTGACCCAGAAATGGATGAAGGGGAAGAAAATGGATGGATGGATGGATGGATGGTCATAATTTGAGTTTGTCTGTAACTTTCAGAGACAACAGTTGGACCATCAGCGAAGAGATAGAGTGAGCTACAACACATGCGCACTGCAAAAAGATGCTCAAATGTCAAATGGAAGTGGATTTGTTCTGATTGATCAATTGGTGAAGTTTACTGAGGTCTCGTTAAAAAATTTACAACTGTGGAAACACTTGTATTTCTGCTGATTTAGAGCTTTGTGGGCGAACTGTGGTCAGAACATAAACATAATGATTAACAAACATGTGAATGACAGACTCTGTGTAAAGTCTCAGAGAAAAGACAGAATCAGAACCAAAAATACAATTCTGATTTAAAAATACACACAATAGACAATAGCAACGCAGCTCGAGTCCGGACGAGAACCAGGGAGTACCATCACACTAGTCCAAGTCTCGGGTCTCTGCTTCCTGTGGCTCAGAGAAAAGACTCTCCATGGCCTCAAAAATCCAAACACAAAAGTACGACCCCAAACAGTGCAACCATGAGACAAAAAATAAAAATACAATGAGAAAATAGAGAAAACGTCATTATCGTCACTCTTTAAATGTACTGATTATTTATAAATTGAATGCCTTTTGTGATTTTCTTGTTCTTGTTTTGTTAAGCACTTTTCCTTGTGTATTAACGGTGCTGTACAAAAGCCTTCTTCAGGAGAGTTGGTGTTTGCTGGTTTCAAACTGCAATGATCCATAAGTAGCCTAAGAAACTAGCTAAAATGCTAAAACTGTTAAAAGTCTACCTATCTAAATTTGCAGGAGGTGTTGATTCTGGCAGTTTCCTGGTTCTTCAAAACAGCTCAGAGAAAATGGTAAAATATATTTGAATATATGTGAAATCTATCCCAGTCGAGCCCTACGAACGACAGCGTGTGAGAGAGTGAGTGAGAGTGAGAGAAGAGAAAGACGAGAGAGAGACCAGAGAGAGACCAAAGAGAGACCAGGGAGAAAGACCAGAGTGAGGAACCAGAGAGAGACCAGAGAGAGACCAGAGAGAGAGACCAGAGAGACCAAAGAGAGACCAGGGAGAAAGACCAGAGTGAGGAACCAGAGAGAGACCAGAGAGAGAGACCAGAGAGACCAGAGAGAGACCAGAGAGAGAGACCAGAGAGACCAAAGAGAGACCAGGGAGAAAGACCAGAGTGAGGAACCAGAGAGAGACCAGAGAGAGAGACCAGAGAGACCAAAGAGAGACCAGGGAGAAAGACCAGAGTGAGGAACCAGAGAGAGACCAGAGAGAGAGAACAGAGAGACCAGAGAGAGACCAAAGAGAGACCAGGGAGAAAGACCAGAGTGAGGAACCAGAGAGAGACCAGAGAGAGAGAACAGAGAGACCAGAGAGAGACCAAAGAGAGACCAGGGAGAAAGACCAGAGTGAGGAACCAGAGAGAGACCAGAGAGAGAGACCAGAGAGACCAAAGAGAGACCAGGGAGAAAGACCAGAGTGAGGAACCAGAGAGAGACCAGAGAGAGAGAACAGAGAGATGAGAGAGAAAGAGACCGGAGAGTGGGACTAGAAAGACCAGAGAGAGACCAAAGAGAGACCAGGGAGGAAGACCAGAGTGAGGAACCAGAGAGAGACCAGAGAGAGACCAGGGAGAGACCAGGGAGGAAGACCAGAGTGAGGAACCAGAGAGAGACCAGAGAGAGACCAGGGAGAGACCAGGGAGGAAGACCAGAGTAAGGAACCAGACAGGGACCAGAGAGAAAGCCTAGAGAGAGGGACCTGAAAGACAAGAAAGAGAGAAACCAGAGAGACCAGAGAGAGAAACCAGAGAGAATAGAGAGAGAAACCAGAGAGACCAGAGAGAGAAACCAGAGAGACCAGAGAGAGACTAGAGAGACTAGGGAGAAAGACCTGAGCGAGAGACCTGAGTGAGAGACCAGGGTTATAAGGCCTTGTACCTTCTCCTCCATCCCCACGTGTTTCAGAGCCGAGCGACCACGATGAGACAAGGCCAAGTTGATGCTCCGGCCTTTCACCACTTTAGCCGTCCGGATGTCTAACCAAACAGCACACACACACACACACACACACACACACAAATAAGACATACGTGTGATATATATTATTTACACAATTTACAAAGCGCTCGACGATGTTACCTTCTCGGCTTTCGAACACATGGACCTCGAAACCTCGTTTGGCAAAAAAGCAGGCGTTGAGGGCTCCCACCTGCAAAGATAAACGAGATGCAGTCTTCCTGAAAATGTGAGACAGGCTTCTTCTCTGATAATGTCCATATCCAGGTCTAGGTGTCCAATTATTTATTTTAAATCCTTGTGTGATTGTTTTCTTGTTTAGTTGAGCAATTTGAGTTCCCTTTTGTATGAATTGTGCTAGACAGAAAAACTTATTTTGCGTTAACTTTCAAGACTATTCTACCAATATGAACCAAATCCCATAAATTCCCACTGCAAGGAAAATGGAGATATGTTTTTTTTTTATTTTATCTACCATTAATGTATTAGTATTTAGTCTAGTATTCAAGCAGAGATACACCCAAGACCTGTATAAAGGGTCATTTGGGGTTTTTTTTATCTACGGTTCTATCACTTTTTGTGCTGGACTTATTAAGATTATCACAGCTACAGATTTCCTAGACACCAACGCCTTCACTCAAAGCTCGCAAGCAAGACACGGGGAGAACATGCAAACTCCATGCCTACAGTCCTTGCATGATCCAGGAATGGAACCACTATCGCAACTACGTTTTTAAATGGAGGGTTCTCTAATAGTAGTAGTAGTAGTAGTAGTAGTAGTAGTAATCTTTATTTATATACCGCCTTTTCACTACAGATTTGAGTCTCAAAGCGGTTTACAATTGTTAATTTTTGGGCATTTGTCTCTCACTCCACACAGAGATGGGAGCGGGGCCAGTACAGGAGGCGCATGCTAGAACTATTGGACATATTTTTAGTGGTAGGGGAAACCGGAGTACCCGGAGGAAACCTACACAGACACGGGGAGAACATGCAAACTCCACTCAGAAAGGCCCTGGTCCGACCGGGATTCGAACCCAGGACCTTCTTGCTGAGAGGCGAGAGTGCTATCCACTCAGCCACCGTGCCGCCCAATAATAATACTGTGGATATGTTAGCTTAGCACTCATTCTAAAGACCTATATTAGAGTAGCTCTCACACACACACACACAATCAATTATTTACTTTTAATTCAGCTTACCAGGCCGCCGCCCACAACAGCCACCACTTTCTTTTTGTCCGATTTGGTTTCTTTGGTGTCCATTGTCGTAGAGTGCGGTGCCTGGACCGGAGGCTGTTGTGTTCTGCTGTTTGTTTGCCGTCAGGGTTGAAAATGCTGCAACAGATTTGGGTGAAAATTTAACAAAGGCGGGACTTAAGTGTCATAACCTGAAAGTAAACAGTTGATAACAGTCACGGTTGTCTAACGCAGTTACGCAGCTCCTTTGGATGAGTTTTGTAACATTAGAAAAAACTATGAGTGCAAATCAGCATTCATGTCGGATAACAAGGGCTTGAAATGGTGCTGCAATTTCTGTAATTAAAAAAGAAGTTTTTTTTTCATACTGAAGATTCTTGATTTTTGACCTGCTGCTGAAATGCTGTTTACAATGGACAACAGTAGGAAAGGCAGGCGTGTTGTTGGGACCAGTGTTGGATTTTGCCGATGCTATGATAGGATTTTGGAATGACGGGAATGAGACAAAATAAGAGTCAGAACAAATGCCAGACTTTCAAAATCAGTCACAGTGCAACCAGCGTACCGGAGAGAGACTAGAGAGAGACCAGAGAGAGACCAGAGAGAGACCAGAGAGAGACCAGAGAGAGACCAGAGAGAGACTAGAGAGAGACCAGAGAGAGACCAGAGAGAGACCAGAGAGAGACTAGAGAATGACCAGAGAGAGACCAAAGAGAGACCAGAGAGAGACCAGAGAGAGACCAGAGAGAGACCAGAGAGAGACCAGAGAGAGAAACCAGAAGGAGACCAGAGAGAGAAACCAGAGGGAGACTAGAGAGAGATCAGAGAGAGAGATCAGAGAGAGACCAGAAAGAGACCAGAGAGAGATCAGAGAGAGACCAGAGAGAGATCAGAGAGAGACCAGAAAGAGACCAGAGAGAGACCAGAGAGAGACCAGAGAGAGACCAGAGAGAGACCAGAGAGAGAAACCAGAAAGAGACCAGAGAGAGACCAGAGAGAGACCAGAGAAAGACCAGAGAGAGACCAGAGAGAGAGATCAGAGAGAGACCAGAGAGAGACCAGAAAGAGACTAGAATAAGAGACCATGAAGAGAGAGAGACCAGTGAGAGGGACCAAAAAGACCAGAGAAACAATGAAACATGTAAACAGTAGAAGCTCATGTATTATTTCAATGTTATTATCTGTGTTTATGTTGTTATAAAGCTGATATACAGACTCCTTTAGAGAAAAACTAAATACTTGCATAATGTAAAAGTACAAGTATGAATTTAATCGACTCAGAACCCAACTATGGACCCCAAAACCCTGGATAAAGCCAGTGTACTGAACTCTGGCTCCCTCTACAGGAGATTTTTTTTTATCATTCACATAAATATACAGGACAAGATTACATGTACTTTTTAGTTAAAAATAATTAGTATTTTCGTTATACAGTCATACAAAGCAGAATCAGATGTCCAGCTCTTTAGTAGAATAAAATGCATAGTGTAGCCTGCTATAGAAATGCTACAAAAAACACATAACGTTGTGGCTTATTTGTGGTTTCTTTCCATCTTGCCATTGATCCAGCTCTCGTCTTGAACTCTCGAACTCCATCATTTCTGTAAATCCAATCACACTATTAGTTAAGTGGGAGAAATTAAACCCACACAGGATGATTAATCGATACGTGAACCAGTGACATGACATTATCTAACTGTGCAAATTTAAAATGTAAATGTAGTGAGTATTATCATTTATAGAAACCACTTTGTTTAAATTCTGTGATCTTATCCCGTCTGTGGCTTTGTGTTATAGTTGTGTGAGAGAAAGAACACAGAGTACAGGACTCGGCTCTGATCTGGGATGCATTAGTTTTGCCTGAATTAAGTCAAACCTCTTGGCATTTCAACCGGGGGCGGGGCTTAAACGTCACGGAACTCCGAAGAAAAAAGTAACATAAAGTCAATATTTAAATAGATTACAGAACACAAATACATGGGGGTATCAAATACATATATATAACATATTTACAATTATAAATAACAACATTAAAATGTGTTGCATCTTGTTTTGATTAATTAATTAAGATACGTTTGTTTTTTTTAAATTCTATTCCATGTTTGTCTCCTTAAAAAGTTGCGATTCGCCAACAACAGATCAGAAAATCAAACAGTTTGACCACAGGAAATGTGATACTAACAAACACATAGAAAGCATGGGGAGCAGGACAACAAATGTCCATAAATGTTCTTAATTGTCCCAAACTCTCCTGCATAGACAAGGAACGACTCAAAAACAAGTGAGAAATCTCAGTGGAGGCCCATATTGAAAGAGAACTTCCACAGACCTACTGTAGGCAGCTGTCTGTATCTCATTAGAAAACATGCTACTTGTTGAATAGTTAACATTTCTGTCTAAAAAAACTGATCCATAGATGTGACATATGGCAAAAATATATGAAAGTAGCTAAAAACAGTTATTAAATACAGTTAGCTCATTTATTTTTTTCAGGCTTTTGAAGTTCATACCTTCTATGTTTACACTTTTTCATACTTTTTCCTTTTTTCAAGCTAAAAATGCATACACACATACACACACATGCACACAATTCACACACTTGTAATACACACACATACACACATGGTTCATAAATTCCAATATACTTATGGGAGGATTTGCCCAAATTTTAGAAAAGAATCGCCCTCTCCACTTTTTGAACTAAACTCTGGTCTAATTTGATGAGAATGTCTTACCAGAATGATTGACAATAGGACCAATAGTTTTGTTAATCCACTCTGAAGTAGATAATCAGAATCAGAATCAGAATCAGAATCAGAATCATTTTTATTGCCAACGTAAGTAACGGGAGGTCACAGACTTGGAAATTGCTTTGGCTCAGTGCAACAGTCAAAAAGAGATAATAAAAATAAGAATAAAAAACACTTCTAAAGAATAAATTTAAATTTAAAATAGAGTTACAGTTACTATTTACAATATACAAGTGCACATGGTGCACACAATGTAAGGTGACAGCAGTACAGTGAAGTAAAGTGACGTATGATGGGCAGTAAAGTGACTTTATAAAGGGCGGGGGGACAGGTTAAGAAGTGTTCAAGAGTCCAACAGCAGAGGGCAAGAAACTGTTCTTGTGGCGGGAGGTTCTAGTCCTGATGGACCGCAGTCTCCTGCCTGAGGGGAGTGGTTGGAATAGTCCATGTGCAGGGTGAGAGGGGTCGGCTGTGATACGACCAGCCCGGCCTCGAGCTCGGGCGACGTACAGGTCCTGCAGCGATGGAAGGCTGCGGCCGATCACTTCCTCTGCAGAGCGCACAATGCGCTGTAGTCTCTGTTTGTCCCTGACTGTGGCTCCAGCGAACCACACGGTGATGGAGGGGGTGAGGATGGACTCGATGATGGCCGTGTAGAACTGCACCAACATCTGTGCAGGCAGCTTGGCTTTCCTGAGCTGCCGCAGGAAGTACATCCTCTGCTGGGTCTTCTTGATGAGGGAGCTGATGGTCGGCTCCCACTTGAGGTCCTGGGTGATGGTGGTGCCCAGGAAACGGAAGGACTCCACAGAGGTGATGGGGGAGTCCATCACGGAGGGTGGGGGCGGGGGGACAGTGCTCTTCCTGAAGTCCACAATCATCTCCACTGTCTTCTGGGCGTTCAGCTCCAGGTTGTTACCACTGCACCAGGACACCAGCCGGTCCACCTCCCTCCTGTAGGCGGACTCATCGTTGTTGGAGATGAGTCCAATGAGGGTGGTGTCGTCCGCGAACTTGATCAGCTTCACGGAGTCGTGGCTGGAGGTGCAGTGGTTGGTGTACAGGGAGAAGAGCAGGGGAGAAAGAACACAGCCCTGTGGGGCTCCTGTATTTATAATCCGAGAGTCCGAGACATTCTTCCCCAGACGCACTCGCTGCTTCCTGTCCGTCAGGAAGTCAGTGATCCACCTGCAGGTGGAATCGGGCACGTTGAGCTGGGAGAGCTTGTCCTGGAGCAGGGATGGCAGGATTGTGTTGAAGGCAGAGCTGAAGTCCACGAACAGGACCCTGGCGTAGGTCCCCGGGGAGTCCAGGTGCTGTAGGATGTGGTGGAGGGCCAGGTTAATGGCGTCGTCTACAGATCTGTTGGCTCTGTAGGCGAACTGCAGGGGGTCCAGGAGGGGGGAGGTGAGGGACTTGAGATGGGAGAGAACCAGGCGTTCAAATGACTTCATGACGACAGACGTAAGTGCTACAGGTCTGTAGTCATTGAGTCCTGTGATCCTGGGCTTCTTCGGGACGGGGACAATGATGGAGGATTTGAAGCAGGCCGGGACATGGCAGGACTGCAGAGAGGTGTTGAAAATGTCCGTGAACACAGGAGTAAGCTCACTGGCGCAGTGTCTCAGAGTGGCCGGAGACACGTGGTCCGGGCCAGGAGCTTTGCGGGGGTGCAGCCTCAGGAAGAGTTGTTTAATCTCTTTAGCGGCTATTGTTAGGCTGGGGGCAGGGCTGATGGGTGGGTCGTTAGAGTAGTGGGGGGTGGGGGAGGGAGAGGTGTCAGGGGCAGCATCAAAGCGACTGAAAAATAAGTTCAGATCGTCAGCTAGCTTGTGGTCGTCAGCACAGGGGGGGGCTTTGGGTTTGTAGTTGGTGATCTCCCGTAGGCCCCTCCAGACAGAAGCAGTATCGTTGTTACCAAACTGCTCCTGTAGTCGTTCTCTGTGCCGGGACTTGGCTGCTTTCAGTTCTTTCCTGAACTGATATTTAGCTGCTTTGTAGCCGCTGCGGTCCCCCTCCCTGAAAGCAGACTCCTTTGCTTTCCTGAGCTGCCGGAGTTTAGCAGTGAACCAGGGTTTGTCGTTGTTATAGATGACCCTGGTCCTTGTTGGAATGATGCTATCCTCACAGAAGTGGATGTATGACGTCACAGTGTCCGTATATTCATCCAAGCTGTCTGTGGCAGCTCTGAAAAGGTCCCAGTCTGTAGATTCCATGCATGCGCGCAGCTCTTCCACAGCTTCATCAGACCACACTTTGGAGCTCCTCACTGCAGGTTTCGAGAGCTTTAGTCTCTGTCTGTAAGCAGGAACCAGATGTATCATGGAGTGATCTGAGAAGCCGAGGGCTGGCTTGGGAACAGCGCGAAAAGCTCCGCGCACGGTGGTGTAACAGTGATCCAGAGTGTTCTCCTCTCTGGTCGGGCATTTGATAAACTGTCTGTATTTGGGTAATTCCTGGCTCAAGTTTCCCTTATTAAAATCCCCCAGGATAATAATCAGAGAGTCCGGGTATAAGCGTTCCATACACAGTACTTGCTCTGCGAGTGCGCGCTGAGCCTCGCGCGCGTCCGCGCATGGCGGTATGTAAACAGAGGCAAGAATGAATGAAACAATTTCCCGCGGGGAGTAATATGGTTTACAATGAATGAAAAGATATTCCAGAGCAGGAGAGCAGTGCTTGGAGATCACTGTCACATCGTTACACCAGTTTGTATTGACGTAGAAACACAGCCCTCCGCCTCTGCTCTTCCCTGAGAGCGCACAATGGCGATCCGCGCGGAACAGCCCAAAGCCCTGCAGCTCCAGAGCGCAGTCCGGGATCCGCTCATTTAGCCAGGTCTCAGTGAAGCAGAGGACACAGGATGTGGCGAAGTCCTTGTTTCTTCTCATGAGCAGGCTGAGTTCGTCCATCTTATTGCCCAGTGAGCGTACGTTGGAGAGAAAAATGCCGGGGAGAGCCGTGCGCGCTCCTCTCCTCCTAAGACGCACGAGCAGGCCTCCTCGCTTTCCCCTTTTACGGGCCCACACTTTTTTGGCTAGAACATGAACTAAATCAGCCGCAGATGCCAAGAAAACAGGCAATAGGTCCATGGGAACGGTGGGTCGGATGTTCATAAGTTCCTCACGGGTGTAGGAACAGCCAGATGCACAGTTAAAAAGTAAAAACAAAAGAAAAAGAGAGCAGCAAAGAGCCATGTCGACCGTACGAGGCGCCATCTTGAAATCTTGTCTAATCCTCCTATATACTGCAACTTTAATATTCACTTCAATGTTAAGATTTTCAGATGCAGTTACATAAAATTCCCTATCCTACCGAAACCTAAAGAAGCTAGATTTAAATTACTGAACAATGTGTATCCGTGTAAAGACTTCTTTGCATTCCAAATTCAATATTGACAATAAAATGTGTGTGTTTTTTGCCATACCAATATTGAAACAGAACACTTTTTTTCACATGTGTGCATTCAAATATATTTTGGGATAGTTTCTTGGTCTCTTAGAAATACTTTAGATATGATGGACTTCACGACATAAAATTTTGAGTCTTACTGGAAGTCAATAACAAAGAATTTACTATTAAAAACTGTGTAATCATGGCTTAATTTTTCATTCATAAATGCAAATTTAGTCATTCAAAAATACAAAAAAAAATACAGTCTATGTAATAAAAAAGAACAAACAAACATTGAATATTCGCTTATCTCATCCTCATTGCCACACCTACTTTGGGTCGAAATGCCTGGATCTTCACTGCGCCTCGATCCAAGATGGCGCCGTGAAAAGCCTGGTTTGTTTTTCACACAGTGCAAAGTATGATTAAGTGCATTAACAGGACAGCTCAGTTGATCCTCTTGACCTCCCTGCATGTGCTCAGATACCAGCAGTCCGTAAGCGATTTCCTTTCCCTCGGTCGAACCCTCAGGTAAAGCAAACTCAAGACGAAACTGTTTATTTTGTAAGAATAATGTGCTGAATGTCGAGCTAACATGCTAGCTGCGGCTAACACGCGAAAGCCGGTGGTTGCGTCCAAATTCACAACAAAACTTACTTCCTTGTCCTTTTAAAACATATTTTCTGAGGAACGTGTTGATTCCAGCTGTGATTGAGAGGGCTTAAGAAAAAGTAGTGTTATTTTGATTCCTCTTGGGTATAAGATATTGTTGTAAATAAAGATAAAAAGGAGAATAAAAGATGAAGAAGTATTGTTTTTTTTATATCGGATGCAGCCGGTGTGTTGGATCCACTGCGAATCTATTTTACTCTGTGAGATTACACACATTTGTTATGAATCCAGCACATGTAGACACAACATCTGCTCTCATTTGTTCATCATTAGATCGTCGCACAATTAAAGTAGATTAGTGTATTATTATTTTAGCCGCGACTGCTAATGCTAAGTGCTAAAGTGACAGAAAATACTCTCATAAGAAAGTTTACGTGGTACAGCGACAGCTAACTACCACTTAAACTTAAACCAAGTTGTGTGATTATGTAGATGTCTATGAAAACAAGATGCCATAGACAGTGGAAGCATATGGTACTTTATGCCATAATCTCATTTGCATTATTTAGTGATGCATGAGTGTAAAACAAGTGCAATGGATCGAGTTTAGAGCGAGTGGGGGGATCCCTTGTTTCTCTTAAATTGTCTTATATTTGCATATTTTGTACTGAAATCTAAAGGTAAAGATGCACACATCCTCTGCATTTGACCCATCCTGATGCCACTAAGACTTACATCAGGAGCTGTGGTCGCTGTAGTCCAGCGCTCAGAGCACCCGGAGAAAACCTACGCAGGCAATAAGGAGAACATGCAAACTTCACTCAGAAAGTCCCTGTCCTGACCGGGATTCGAGCCCAGGACAAAGAGCTATCCACGCAGCCGCCGTGCCGCTCTAATCTATGGATGCAATGCTCTATTGTTGTTCTCTGGTCTCTCTTGTAATCACTACATAATCTCAGAAGCTCACCATAATTACTAGCACTACTTATGACATGTTTAGATCAGGTTTGTTCAGACTGAAAAGAGACAAACAAAGGACCAGCCCTGCTCAGAGCGAATAATCATTATGCTGAAGACTTTGTTTTCTTAAGGAGGAGCAAAATGTGACTCGCCTCATGTTAACTTTTTTGTCATTTCATAGTTAAGGTAAATTGGAGGATTTCCCCAAATTTTAGGAAAGAACCGCCCTTTCCACTTATTGAACAAAACTCTCTGGTCTTAATTGGCGACCACAAATCACCAGAATGATTGACAATTGGGAGGACCAATAGTATTGATGATCCACCCGGAAGTAGAAAATCCTCTTGTTTACCTTTTAAGGTTTATTTATTTATTTATTATTTATTTATTTATTTGTTTCAATTGTGGACAAAAACAATACTACACATATTACAATTAAATTTCAAATAATTGTCGTCTTGTCTCACAAATGAAAAGAAGCAGAAAGAAGAAAAAAAATCTTATGTTGCCTGCCCCTTTCTTCATACATGTACAAATTAAATTAAAACAAATTTAAAAAAGAAAAAAATAAGATGGCCTTTAGCACTTCTTCAAACTGTTTCTATTTTATGTGTTTTTGTTTTCAAAATTCTTTGTTTTTTATTTTTTTCTAATCATTCATTTTGTACGATTTCACTGTTGTTGCTTTGATTATTTTCTTAAACATGTGGATGTTTGCGGAATTTTTTATTTCATAGTCAAGTTGATTCCATAGTTACACTCCTACCACTGATATTGTGGTCGGAGTGTAACTTCCTTCTACTGCCCTGGTTGATATTGAGAGAGAAGAGCAGCTGTAGAGCTACTGTAGAGCTGCTGTAGAGCTGTTGTAGAGCTGCTGTAGAGCTACTGTAGAGCTGCTGTAGAGTAGTAAGCAGTAAGCTTTATTTATATACCGCCTTTCACAGACCAGAGTCACAAAGCGGTTTACAATTGTTATATATATATATATTTTTGGGCACTTGTCCTCTCACTCCACACAGAGATGGGAGCGGGGTCGCCGAACAGGAGGCGCATGCCAGACCTATTGTACATATTTTTAGTGGTAGGGGAAACCGGAGTACCCGGAGGAAACCTACGCAGACACGGGGAGAACATGCAAACTCCACTCAGAAAGGCCCTGGTCCGGCCGGGATTCGAACCCAGGACCTTCAGCTGTTGTAGAGCTGCTGTAGAGCTGCTGTAGAGCTGTTGTAGAGCTGTTGTAGAGCTGCTGTAGAGCTACTGTAGAGCTGCTGTAGAGCTGCTGTAGAGCTGTTGTAGAGCTGTTGTAGAGCTGCTGTAGAGCTGCTGTAGAGCTGCTGTAGAGCTGCTGTAGAGCTGCTGTAGAGCTGCTGTAGAGCTACTGTAGAGCTGTTGTAGAGCTGCTGTAGAGCTGCTGTAGAGCTGGTGTAGAGCTGGTGTAGAGCTGCTGTAGAGCTGCTGTAGAGCTGCTGTAGAGCTGCTGTAGAGCTGCTGTAGAGCTGTTGTAGAGCTGCTGTAGAGCTGCTGTAGAGCTGCTGTAGAGCTGCTGTAGAGCTGTTGTAGAGCTGTTGTAGAGCTACTGTAGAGCTACTGTAGAGCTGTTGTAGAGCTGTTGTAGAGCTGCTGTAGAGCTACTGTAGAGCTACTGTAGAGCTGTTGTAGAGCTGTTGTAGAGCTGCTGTAGAGCTGCTGTAGAGCTGCTGTAGAGCTGCTGTAGAGTAGTAAGCAGTAAGCTTTATTTATATACCGCCTTTCACAGACCAGAGTCACAAAGCGGTTTACAATTGTTATTTTTTGGGCACTTGTCTCTCACTCCACACAGAGATGGGAGCGGGGTCGCCGAACAGGAGGCGCATGCCAGACCTATTGTACATATTTTTAGTGGTAGGGGAAACCGGAGTACCCGGAGGAAACTTACGGAGACACGGGGAGAACATGCAAACTCCACTCAGAAAGACCCTGGTCCGGCCGGGATTCGAACCCAGGACCTTCTTGCTGAGAGGCGAGAGTGCTATCCACTCAGCCACCGTGCCGCCTAGTAGAGCTGTTGTAGAGCTGTTGTAGAGCTGCTGTAGAGCTGCTGTAGAGCTGCTGTAGAGCTGTTGTAGAGCTGTTGTAGAGCTGCTGTAGAGCTGCTGTAGAGCTGCTGTAGAGCTGTTGTAGAGCTGTTGTAGAGCTGCTGTAGAGCTGCTGTAGAGCTGCTGTAGAGCTGCTGTAGAGCTGCTGTAGAGCTGCTGTAGAGCTACTGTAGAGCTACTGTAGGGCTGTTGTAGAGCTGCTGTAGAGCTGTTGTAGAGCTGTTGTAGAGCTGCTGTAGAGCTGTTGTAGAGCTGCTGTAGAGCTGCTGTAGAGCTGCTGTAGAGCTGCTGTAGAGCTGCTGTAGAGCTGTTGTAGAGCTGCTGTAGAGCTGCTGTAGAGCTGCTGTAGAGCTGCTGTAGAGCTGCTGTAGAGCTGCTGTAGAGCTGGTGTAGAGCTGCTGTAGAGCTGCTGTAGAGCTGCTGTAGAGCTGTTGTAGAGCTGTTGTAGAGCTGTTGTAGAGCTGCTGTAGAGCTGCTGTAGAGCTGTTGTAGAGCTACTGTAGAGCTACTGTAGAGCTGTTGTAGAGCTGTTGTAGAGCTGCTGTAGAGCTACTGTAGAGCTACTGTAGAGCTGCTGTAGAGCTGCTGTAGAGCTGCTGTAGAGCTGCTGTAGAGTAGTAAGCAGTAAGCTTTATTTATATACCGCCTTTCACAGACCAGAGTCACAAAGCGGTTTACAATTGTTATTTTTTGGGCACTTGTCTCTCACTCCACACAGAGATGGGAGCGGGGTCGCCGAACAGGAGGCGCATGCCAGACCTATTGTACATATTTTTAGTGGTAGGGGAAACCGGAGTACCCGGAGGAAACTTACGGAGACACGGGGAGAACATGCAAACTCCACTCAGAAAGACCCTGGTCCGGCCGGGATTCGAACCCAGGACCTTCTTGCTGAGAGGCGAGAGTGCTATCCACTCAGCCACCGTGCCGCCTAGTAGAGCTGCTGTAGAGCTGTTGTAGAGCTGTTGTAGAGCTGCTGTAGAGCTGCTGTAGAGCTGCTGTAGAGCTGTTGTAGAGCTGTTGTAGAGCTGCTGTAGAGCTGCTGTAGAGCTGCTGTAGAGCTGCTGTAGAGCTGCTGTAGAGCTGCTGTAGAGCTGTTGTAGAGCTGTTGTAGAGCTGCTGTAGAGCTGCTGTAGAGCTGCTGTAGAGCTGCTGTAGAGCTGCTGTAGAGCTACTGTAGAGCTACTGTAGGGCTGTTGTAGAGCTGCTGTAGAGCTGTTGTAGAGCTGTTGTAGAGCTGTTGTAGAGCTGCTGTAGAGCTGTTGTAGAGCTGCTGTAGAGCTGCTGTAGAGCTGCTGTAGAGCTGCTGTAGAGCTGCTGTAGAGCTGCTGTAGAGCTGCTGTAGAGCTGGTGTAGAGCTGGTGTAGAGCTGCTGTAGAGCTGCTGTAGAGCTGCTGTAGAGCTGCTGTAGAGCTGTTGTAGAGCTGTTGTAGAGCTGCTGTAGAGCTGCTGTAGAGCTGCTGTAGAGCTGTTGTAGAGCTGCTGTAGAGCTGCTGTAGAGCTGCTGTAGAGCTGTTGTAGAGCTGCTGTAGAGCTGTTGTAGAGCTGCTGGCAGCAGAGAGTCTCTGGCTTTGTACATCACAATGAGTGACTGTAGTTTGATCAGATCCTCTAGTTTTAACAGTTTTGATTGTATGAATAGTAAGTAAGTAATCTTAGGTTGTTTGTGTGTTCTCTTGAGTCCACTTTATGAATGATTCTCACTGCTTTTTTTTGTAAGAGGATTAGAGGATGTATGGTGTGTGTTTGTGTGTGTTTGTATGTGTTTCCCCAGACTTCTACACAGTCGGTGAAATGGGGCAATATCAAGGTACTGTACAGGAGCCTTAGGGCTTTATGACCAAGTGAATGTTTCACTTTGTGCAGTACCGAGATATTTTTCTTTTTACCTGATTTACATGGGATTTCCAATTTAATTTCTCATCCATTGTCACTATATTAACTAAGGTTAATTAGAAGTACATATTTTTTTCAAACTTGAATATTACAGATGTATTACAAGCATCTTAATGGTTTTCATTAATGCATTTTGATGTTCCAAGAGTCTTGTAAAGTAAAAATATTTAAAGTCAGAGTAAATAATCAAAGAAATTGCAATCTCAGCCATTTTTTGGTTTCAAACCAGTGGCAAAACATATCAAAACAAGGCACAGAGGCTGAAACGTCCTGATACATAATCGACTGTTGCAACTTGAAAGTGCGAGGCTTTCTTTGAGGTTTTGATATTTTCCTGCAGCGTCACCTCAGTTAGTTTTTTGTTGTGGTTCCTTCTACAACATTATTTACCAAACTATTGCCATACCCATTTCAAAATTCACTATTATAGATTGTTGTTGATAGTCTATAAACAGACTATAAAACCTGTACACAATGTGCTTGAAAACAGGCCAGTAAAAAAACAACGCTTAAATATAACGTAAAAGGGTCTCTTTTAACAATATATTTGTTTCAGTGGGAATATGAAATTTCCCCACTGTGGGACATAATATAAAGGATCTCTTAATCTTAATCTCAAAGAAGGTCCTCAAGATGAATCAAATTTAGGTAGAAAAAACTGTTGAAGATATTTGTGTACTAAACCAGATTAATTAAAAGAAAAATCTTTTGATGGCTCTTCACAGATTACAGTTACAGATGGCTTGGTTATTTCAATGAGTCAAACAATCATGTCCTGTTATACTTTTACCAATAAACGTTTGAACTTTTTTAGTATGTATTTGTATGCAGGGGGCACAGACTACGTTCAAAACAATACACACAGGAAAGGGAATGGGTGGGTGGATAAAAGCTTGAAATATTACTGAAAATCAGAATGTGATCATTTTTCTGGCAGCAAATGAAGCCGCTGTGTAAAAACCCAGCCTCACTTCCCCGTCTCCCTCCAGTCTGTGCAGGTTTGTCTCCGCGCTGCCGCTCAGAATGGCCGACCCGGCGGTGAAGAGGGTGGTGATCGACATCATCCGCTCTCCTGAAGACAAGCGAGAGTACAGGGCTCTGGAGTTCACCAACGGACTCCAGGCCATGCTCATCAGTGACCCCACCACAGACAAGTCCTCCGCCGCGCTGGACGTGCACATAGGTACGACAGTGTCTCTGTGTGTGTGTGTGTGTGTGTGTGCGGGAGTGTGTGTGTGTGTGTGTGTGTGCGGGAGTGTGTGTGTGTGCGAGAGCGTGTGTGTGCGAGAGCGTGTGTGTGCGGGAGCGTGTGTGTGCGAGAGCGTGTGTGTGCGAGAGCGTGTGTGTGTGCAGGAGCGTGTGTGTGTGCAGGAGCGTGTGTGTGCGGGAACGTGTGTGCGGGAACGTGTGTACAGTGCCTTGCGAAAGTATTCGGCCCCCTTGAACCTTTCAACATTTCGCCACATTTCAGGCTTCAAACATAAAGATATAAAATTTTAACTTTTTGTCATGAATCAACAACAAGTGGGACACAATCGTGAAGTGGAACGAAAGTTATTGGATAATTGAAACTTTTTTAACAAATATAAAACTGAAAAGTGGGGCGTGCAATATTACTTTACTTTCAGTGCAGCAAACTCACTCCAGAAGTTCAGTGAGGATCTTTGAATGATCCAATGTTGTCCTAAATGACTGATGATGATAAATAGAATGTACCTGTGTGTAATCAAGTCTCCGTATAAATGCACCTGCTCTTTGATAGTCTCAGGGTTCTGTTTAAAGCGCAGAGAGAACCATGAAGACAAAGGAACACACCAGGCAGGTCCGAGATACTGTTGTGGAGAAGTTTAAAGCCGGATTTGGATACAAAAAGATTTCCCAAGCTTTAAACATCTCAAGGAGCACTACAGGACCATTCTGGAAGAAAACCTGTTGTAGTCTGCAAAAGACCTGAGACTGGGACGGAGATTTATCTTCCAACAGGACAATGATCCAAAACATAAAGCCAAATCTACAATGGAATGGTTCACAAATAGACGTATCCAGGTGTTAGAATGGCCAAGTCAAAGTCCAGACCTGAATCCAGTCGAGAATCTGTGGAAAGAGCTGAAGACTGCTGTTCACAAACGCTCTCCATCCAACCTCACTGAGCTCGAGCTGTTTTGCAAGGAAGAATTGGCAAGAATTCCAGTCTCTCGATGTGCAAAACTGATAGAGACATACCCCAAGCAACTTGCAGCTGTAATTGCAGCAAAAGGTGGTGCTACAAAGTATTAGCGCAAGGGGGCCGAATAATATTGCACGCCCCACTTTTCCGTTTTTTTATTTGTTAAAAAAGTTAAAATTATCCAATAACTTTCGTTCCACTTCATGATTGTGTCCCACTTGTTGTTGATTCTTGACAAAACATTTTATTTTTATATCTTTATGTTTGAAGCCTGAAATGTGGCGAAATGTTGAAAGGTTCAAGGGGGCCGAATACTTTCGCAAGGCACTGTAGGGGAGCGTGTGTGTAGGGGAGTGTGTGTAGGGGGAGTGCTTGTGTGTGTGTGTGTGTGTAGGGGGAGTGCTTGTGTGTGTGTGTGTGTGTGTGTGTGTAGGGGGAGTGCTTGTGTGTGTGTGTGTAGGGCAGTGTGTGTGTGTGTGTGTGTGTGTGTGTATGGGAGTGTGCCTACGGGAAGGAGACTGAGCGACTGCTAGGTTAATGCAGAAGAAGCTGATTTGAACATAAGCTAGCTGATTAGCTTGCTGAAGGCCATTTTAATTCATTAATTCATTGCCAAATTATCAAATACAGATAAGGCATAGATCAAATACAGTCAAAATAAATAAACACAAAAACAAACTATTGCCATACCCAAATATCCAAACAACCAATAAAAGAAAATCATAAAAATGTATGCTTGAACTTTTGCGTAGCACTGTAAAAGAGTCTTGATCCCAGCCTTCACCGTCTGTGTGGTTCTGCAGGTTCCTTGTCGGATCCCTCAAACATCTCTGGCCTGGCGCACTTCTGTGAACACATGCTGTTTCTGGGGACTCAGAAATACCCCAAAGAAAACGAGTACAGTCAGTTCCTGAGCGAACACGCCGGCAGCTCCAACGCCTTCACCAGCGGCGAACACACCAACTACTACTTTGACGTTTCCCATGAGCACTTGCAGGGAGCGCTGGACCGGTGAGGACTTCTGTTTATTGTCAGCGCTGTAGCGTCTCTACACAAGCACACACACACACACACACACACACACACAGAGAAACTACATCTGAAAAAAAGGCTTTTAGTTTTTACACATTGTGAGACACATGCTGCTGTGTCAGAATGACTTGGCATTTAACCCGCCTCTTAAGCTTTTTTTTTGTTTTTTTTGCCGAGGTGTTTTCTGTGTAAATGACTACAACCAAATATAGCGGTAATTTAGAAGCATCGAAACCAAATTGTTTATTGGGTCTGGTGTATGAAACTTAATTCACTTTAATGTATGTGTATAGTCCTGAATCTCAAAAGCAGTCATCTCTGCGTACTTTGCAAAGTTGTCGATTGTCGAACAGCAGATCAGAAAATCAATTGGTTGGTACATAGAACATTACATTATAGGACATAAGACATTTTTCTTAAACAAAATGCGGAGGTTTGCAGAGATTATTTTATTATTTGTACAACACAAGGAGACTCAAACTGCAGAGACCAGCCCCTGTGCTCCTCAGAGTCCCAGCAGGAGGCCGGTCCCTGTGCTCCTCAGCGTCCCAGCAGGAGGCCGGTCCCTGTGCTCCTCAGCGTCCCAGCAGGAGGCCGGTCCCTGTGCTCCTCAGCGTCCCAGCAGGAGGCCGGTCCCTGTGCTCCTCAGCGTCCCAGCAGGAGGCCGGTCCCTGTGCTCCTCAGCGTCCCAGCAGGAGGCCGGTCCCTGTGCTCCTCAGAGTCCCAGCAGGAGGCCGGTCCCTGTGCTCCTCAGCGTCCCAGCAGGAGGCCGGTCCCTGTGCTCCTCAGCGTCCCAGCAGGAGGCCGGTCCCTGTGCTCCTCAGCGTCCCAGCAGGAGGCCGGTCCCTGTGCTCCTCAGCGTCCCAGTAGGAGGCCGCTCCCTGTGCTAGTTTATTTTCTGAGCCACAGAAGCCAGTGCAGAGATCTGAGACTGGACTAATGTGATGGTACTTCCTGGTTCTTGTCAGGACTCGACTGTTTGGAGAGACCAGTGAGCAGCTGTTACATTAGTCTGATTTACCGGAGACAAATGCATGGATAAGAATCTCCAAGTCTGCTACACTACATTTTTGATTTGTGGATATATTTTTCTGGTTTTTCAGACTCTCAAGCTGCGGTCACATGCGCACCTTAAATCCTGGTTAAAGTGATTCGCGATTAGATCCGGGCTTTAGGTGCTATGTGACCGCGGCAAGTGGGCTTGGGCACGGTTGAGAGAGGTTGGCCAGAGCACGCTTTGTAAAGCCCAGATGAGTGGGGTCACTGTGGCGGGGAGTGGGGGATGAGGTTTGGTGGGGACTTTATATTGTGTATCTGCTCGTACGCCAGAGAGGCGCGCTCCCAAGTCCGTGGCCCACACGTGCACACACACGTGCACACACACGTGCACACACACGTGCACACACACGTGCACACACACGTGCACACACACGTGCACACACATGGTACCCACTGAACTGCTGCGATCCGTACTGAGCTGTTAGCTACAGTAGCAGAATGTAAACAGGAAGAGAAACGGAAACTTAACTCTGACAACGGTCGTCGCTGGAGTTAGTATTAGCGCCACCAGCTGGACCGAGCGTTGTACTACAGCACAGTTGCTCTGGCACGTTTGCGAAAATACGTTCTTATGACCGCGGGCCGCTTTCACACCCCTGTGGCGACGATCCGGGCCACTTGGCTTAGTTTGTTTGTAAAAACCTATGTGACCGTGCCCTTACTTTATCTGGTCTGGTGGAGATTCTGGCTCGACAGTTTTCAAGGATAATCGTTGTGTCTTTATGTTCTTTACAGTGTATGTGTGTGTTTTTAGTAGTCTCTCTTAGGCCTGTCGCGATAGTCAATAAATCAATTAATTGCACAATAAATAAAATTTGCTCAATAACTTTTCTGGCCGCGATAAATCCCATTTGCATGCTTGTTTGTTACCCCCGTCTCTCTCGGGTCAGAGAGCCGCAAAATGGTCACGGGAACATTAGCGGTCTAGCAAGCAGACGGAAATGACTCAAAAATACAAAATACAGCCAAAACAGGACCTTAACCAGGATTGACAATGGGGGACACAGTAGTTGTGAACATATGCCGGCAGCTGAGTTCTCATTCAGGCTTGATTAGTGACTATACTAGCGCAGCTAGCGTTAGCGTGTTTGCCGATGCAGAAGTACCGTACCATACCAATAAAATAAACTTATGGCGCACCTCCGTGAACACATACTGCTGTTATATAAAGTCTCTAGAAGGTCTCTGAACACAGAGATGCTGCAGACTTGCATTCTTGGAGTAGAACTTTACACAAAAAACCCGCTAGCTTAGCTGTTAGCATCAAAGCCCGCCCCGCTACTTCCGGTGGGCGCTACCGCAGCAGGACTTCTGTACGCCCCATTGGTGAACCCACATGTCAGTCACTTGTCATTCGCCTGGTGTGTGGGGAGGTGGGACTACTCCTGAGAGATCCTGTCTTAAGCCACACAAAGTCAACATGTTGGTATTTCTTTCTCGTAATCTGCCATAAAGTCTGAGAAATTATTGACATTTGAGGCATCTGTTTCATATTTTCTTTACAAAGGTCCTGGCAGTTTTATTCCTGGTCATTTTTTGTTAAGAGACTGAGTCTATTTTATTTATTGTTTTTGGTTGCAGTAGTAGTAGTAAGTAATCTTTATTTATATACCGCCTTTTCACTGCACATCGGAGTCTCAAAGCGGTTTACAATTGTTATTTTTGGGAGCGGGGTCGCCAGTACAGGAGGCGCATGCCAGACCTATTGTACATATTTTTAGTGGTAGGGGAACCCGGAGCACCCGGAGGAAACCTACGCAGACACGGGGAGAACATGCAAACTCCACTTAGAAAGGCCCTGGTCCAACCGGGATTCGAACCCAGGACCTTCTTGCTGAGAGGCGAGAGTGCTATCCACTCAGCCACCGTGCCGCCCACGGCACACCGTTGTTTGTTAATTTATTGTGTTCTACCGTTAAATATTCGTTAAAAATAAAAGTTTATTTCTCTTTGAAAAGGTGTACCTGCATTATCATTGTAATCGATGCAAATGATCTCAGAACGACAATATAATCGCTTATCGTAATAATTTCTGAGACAATTAATCGTCCAGCAAAATTTGTTATCGTGACAGGCCTAGTCTCTCTTTAGTAGTCTCTCTCTGCGCTGTCTATTCAGATGAAATGCCATTGTCTGCGCTCCTTCTGACTTCACTTCCACCTGTCCAGTATTGGCCTCCTCTCACATGACGCGCAGCCTGAGTTTAGTCTCCAGGATCAAGTTACCTCCAAATGAATGAGTTTATGCAACACCTGCGTCTGTGTCACATCGGCACAATTGTTCTCTCCTGAATTACTTTAGGGAGACCATCTGGAGAGGAGCTGCCAATGTGTGCTTAACTATTCAACGATTTTAGAAATAGATTTGAACTGTTTTAAAGATCATTCATGAGGAGATGTTTGGGTTGAGTTTGGTCTTTCAACTTTACCTTGTAGTGTTTTAAAACGGAAAATCCTATTCAAGTTGATCACAAATAAGAGTAACAGACATGACTAGTGGATAGAGAGAGCATAGAACTCTCTCTCATACACATGTAAACTCAAAGTGCCTAACAAAACAAGTAATTATCTCAGTACAATAAAAATATACAACTGTTTTAGGCAGGCCATGGAGGTTTTATCCCCACGTTTCTTTCTTTCTTACTGTACTGTACAAATATACCAATCATATGTTTCCCCCCCCTTTACTACCACCTCCCACATTCATTCTCCCCATGTTTAACCCAAAAAACATTTGGGTCGTCTCCCATTTGTTGAAGATGGTTGAAAATCCTCTCGCTCAGCTCTTCCTGCGTTTCCTAGATAGGCTTTTGATACAATACGAAAAGGCTAAAGTGGCTTGAAATGACTGAGTAAAGGCCAAAATCCCGGGTAACACTGGTCCTCTACATCTGTAACCAAACTCTTCCATTGTCAGTCAAATACATTTCCCTTTTGGCTTTTGCATGGCAGTTGCTAAGCACTCGTCTCGTTTATTCAAATCAGCAGTTGCTTCTGTCTCTTCCGGTCAGTTTTTATCCTTCACCATTGTACAATTCTGATGTCTGCATCCAAGCATGTCCACGTTTATCAAAAAAGACAAGAAGCAGACCGTGTTTACAGAATCAGCCTAAATGACAACTTCTCTGTGGAGCGAGAAAAAGCCTCTGTGGACGGGCCGTGAAACTGTATTTAATTTGCTTGGTAACAAATGGATACATATTCCAAAGGGTTTTCTATCACTGTGCCCGTGTCCTTTTAAAAGTTTGTCTGTATTCGTAATGCACAAATTATTCAAGCATTTTTAGTCGTTTTCTAGTATTTTCCATGTTGACGAGGGGGTGTCTGACGAGTACAAATGTCTGACTGACAAAGGAGGAGGGAGGTCTTAAGAATTGCCTTGCAGTGCCTTAACTTCTCTCTTTTTAATCATTTTAATGTGTTTTATTGTAATTTTTAATAATGTTTTTATCTTTTGACATATATTGTGTCAAAAGTTTGAATGTTTGAGCAAGGGACAAATGCACATTTTCCATTTGGATCAATAAAGTATATCTAAATCCTACATTTTAATTTGACCTCTGAACTACTCAATTCTGTTTTTTTACGCCACCGAAAAAGTAATATGCAGTAATTAAATTCATTCACATGTTTGCAGTTTGACAAAATTTCTTCATCCACAAGTGAGTTTTTCTCTCTTGATTGAAGTATGAATGTATTAAAGGTGTTGTCCTGGTCCTGGTCCAGGTTTGCCCAGTTCTTCCTCTGCCCGCTGTTCGATGAAAGCTGTAAGGACCGGGAGGTGAACGCCGTGGACTCGGAACACGAGAAGAACCTGATGAACGACGCCTGGAGACTGTTCCAGCTGGAGAAGGCCACAGGGAACCCCAACCACCCCTTCAGCAAGTTCGGCACAGGTACCTGCCCCGCGGCCTCTCTCGGTGTACTTTTAGTTCTTCAGTCAATATTGAACCAGCTACGGCAGTTTGAGAACCGGCTGATTCACTTTGGAAAGCAGTTTTAATGTTATAAAAGTTAAGTTATTTATGCATGTATCTGTCTCTCTCTCTGGTCTCTTCGCTCTCTGGTCTATCTCTTCTCTCTCTGGTCTCTTCTCTCTCTGGTTGGTCTGTCTCTCTCTCTCTCTGGTCTCTACTCTCTCTGGTTCGTCTGTCTCTCTCTCTGGTCGGTCTGTCTCTCTCTGTCTCTGGTCTCTACTCTCTCTGGTCGGTCTGTCTCTCTCTCTGGTCGGTCTGTCTCTCTCTCTGGTTGGTCTGTCTCTCTCTGGTTGGTCTGTCTCTCTCTGGTTGGTCTGTCTCTCTCTGGTTGGTCTGTCTCTCTCTGGTTGGTCTGTCTCTCTCTGGTTGGTCTGTCTCTCTCTGGTTGGTCTGTCTCTCTCTGGTTGGTCTGTCTCTCTCTCTGGTTGGTCTGTCTCTCTCTGGTTGGTCTGTCTCTCTCTCTGGTTGGTCTGTCTCTCTCTGGTTGGTCTGTCTCTCTCTCTGGTTGGTCTGTCTCTCTCTCTGGTTGGTCTGTCTCTCTCTCTGGTTGGTCTGTCTCTCTCTCTGGTGGGTCTGTCTCTCTCTCTCTCTGGTGGGTCTGTCTCTCTCTCTGGTCTCTGGTCTCTACTCTCTCCCTGGTCTCTGGTCGCTGGTCTCTCTGGTCTCTGGTCTCTACTCTCTCTGGTCGGTCTGTCTCTCTCTCTCTGGTCGGTCTGTCTCTCTCTCTGGTTGGTCTGTCTCTCTCTCTGGTTGGTCTGTCTCTCTCTGGTTGGTCTGTCTCTCTCTGGTTGGTCTGTCTCTCTCTGGTCGGTCTGTCTCTCTCTCTCTCTGGTCGGTCTGTCTCTCTCTGGTCGGTCTGTCTCTCTCTCTCTCTGGTCGGTCTGTCTCTCTCTCTCTCTCTCTCTGGTCGGTCTGTCTCTCTCTCTCTGGTCGGTCTGTCTCTCTCTCTCTCTGGTCGGTCTGTCTCTCTCTCTCTCTGGTCGGTCTGTCTCTCTCTCTCTGGTCGGTCTGTCTCTCTCTCTCTCTGGTCGGTCTGTCTCTCTCTCTCTCTGGTCGGTCTGTCTCTCTCTCTCTCTGGTCTGTCTGTCTCTCTCTCTCTCTGGTCTGTCTGTCTCTCTCTCTCTCTGGTCTGTCTGTCTCTCTCTCTGGTCGGTCTGTCTGTCTCTCTTTCTGGTCGGTCTGTCTGTCTCTCTCTCTGGTCGGTCTGTCTCTCTCTCTCTCTCTCTGGTCGGTCTGTCTCTCTCTCTGGTCGGTCTGTCTCTCTCTCTCTGGTCGGTCTGTCTCTCTCTCTCTGGTCGGTCTGTCTCTCTCTCTCTGGTCGTCTGTCTCTCTCTCTCTCTCTCTGGTCTCTACTCTCTCTGGTCTGTCTGTCTCTCTCTCTCTCTGGTCTCTACTCTCTCTGGTTTGTCACTCTCTCTGGTCTCTACTCTCTCTGGTCTGTCTGTCTCTCTCTCTCTGGTCTCTACTCTCTCTGGTCTGTCACTCTCTCTGGTCTCTACTCTCTCTGGTCTCTACGCTCTCTGGTCTCTACTCTCTCTGGTTGGTCTGTCTCTCTCTCTGGTTGGTCTGTCTCTCTCTGGTTGGTCTGTCTCTCTCTCTGGTTGGTCTGTCTCTCTCTCTGGTCGGTCTGTCTCTCTCTCTCTGGTCGGTCTCTCTCTCTGGTCTCTCTCTCTCTCTGGTCTCTCTCTCTCTGGTTGGTCTGTCTCTCTCTCTGGTCGGTCTGTCTCTCTCTCTCTGGTCTCTCTCTCTCTCTGGTCTCTCTCTCTGGTCTGTCTCTCTCTGGTTGGTCTGTCTCTCTCTCTCTGGTGGGTCTGTCTCTCTCTCTCTCTGGTGGGTCTGTCTCTCTCTCCTGTCTCTGGTTGGTCTGTCTCTCTCTCTGGTTGGTCTGTCTCTCTCTCTGGTTGGTCTGTCTCTCTCTCTGGTTGGTCTGTCTCTCTCTCTGGTCGGTCTGTCTCTCTCTCTCTCTGGTCGGTCTCTCTCTCTGGTCTCTCTCTCTCTCTCTTGGTCTCTCTCTCTCTGGTTGGTCTGTCTCTCTCTCTGGTCGGTCTGTCTCTCTCTCTCTGGTCTCTCTCTCTCTCTGGTCTCTCTCTCTGGTCTGTCTCTCTCTGGTTGGTCTGTCTCTCTCTCTGGTGGGTCTGTCTCTCTCTCTCTCTGGTGGGTCTGTCTCTCTCTCCTGTCTCTGGTTGGTCTGTCTCTCTCTCTGGTTGGTCTGTCTCTCTCTGGTTGGTCTGTCTCTCTCTGGTTTGGTCTGTCTCTCTCTCTCTGGTCGGTCTGTCTCTCTCTCTCTCTGGTCGGTCTGTCTCTCTCTCTCTCTGGTCGGTCTGTCTCTCTCTCTCTCTCTGGTCGGTCTGTCTCTCTCTCTGGTCGGTCTGTCTCTCTCTCTCTGGTCTGGTCGGTCTGTCTCTCTCTCTCTCTGGTCGGTCTGTCTCTCTCTCTCTCTGGTCGGTCTGTCTCTCTCTCTCTCTGGTCGGTCTGTCTCTCTCTCTCTCTCTCTGGTCGGTCTGTCTCTCTCTCTCTCTCTCTCTGGTCGGTCTGTCTCTCTCTCTCTCTCTCTCTCTCTGGTCGGTCTCTCTCTCTCTCTCTGGTCTCTGTCTCTCTCTCTCTGGTCGGTCTGTCTCTCTCTCTCTGGTCGGTCTGTCTCTCTTGAAAGTGTTAAGTTTTCAAACGAGTGAAAAGCGTTGTTGGTTTTGGGACTAAGAACCAAGTTGGTGTGTGATATAATCGCAACGCCACCGCCGCGACCTGTAGCTCTGGCTTTCTGGTAGTTAACATGCGTCGGAGGAGTGCACTCATTCAATCTAACGTAGTCGTCCTGTTGGAGCCAAGTCTCCGAGAGCGCAAACAAATCCAAGCCCTTGTCTATAATAAGTTCGTTTATGAGAAGCGATTTAGACGAGATTGATCTGACGTTCATTAAACCACATTTAACAACCCTACCGCTAGAACTATTTCTGTCTGTCTGAACTTTTATTAAGTTACTGTGTCTGACACCTAGGTCAGATTTCCTCGCATATAGTGCTTTAGACTTCAAGCGGGTAACACACACAGTTTCAATCTGACTAGGTTCTGAGGCTAGTAACTGAGCAAACACAGGCACACACACACATGCACACACAGTTTCAGTCTGACTAGCTTCTGAGGCTAGTAACTGAACAGATGGGGGCTCAGAGGTTGTGGCAGAGCAGCTCTGCACCCGGGCCTCAGTTCTGCATCGTCATTTGAGCCGAGCAGAACAGTTTAGAGCCAGGGCCAAATTCGTAGCCAAAAGGGATGTACCCGCCAACGTTGGGTGGATATCATCCGAGCGGATGAGACCGGGCTTTCCCCAAAAGGCACTCCAATTGTCAACATGAACAACACCACTTCGAGGGCACCAGCCAGACAGCCAGCGGTTGAAAGCTGAGTGTCTGCTGAATGCTTCTGCACTGCTAGTGCTAGGTAGGGGCCCAGAGAAGATGACAGTGTCGGCCATTGTGCTAGCCAGCTTGCACACGGCGGCGACTTGCAGCTTCAACACCTCGGACTGTTTCCGCCGAACGTCATTACCACCCGCGTGAATAACAATTCGACGGAAACGCTGCTTGTGGGTCATCATGAGCCTCAGATTCCCTTCAATATCACCAAGCCTGGCCCCAGGGAAGCACCGAACAGTGGCTCCTGGGATCTTAACACCTCTAACAATAGAGGAGCCAATTACCAGCGCATTAGCGACTCCATCGGCTCTCTCAGCAGCTCTCTCAGCAGCTCTCTCAGCAGCTCTCTCAGTGGGGCCTTCTTCCCCGACAGAGCGTCCCAGCGATTGTAAATGCTAACAGGAGGAGGCCCAATGGGGAAACTACCAACAACACGTGGCCCTCTCCGAACAGTCACAAAGCCATCACTATCCTGGTCTTGTCCCAGCTGCGGAGGACGGGCTGGGAGGCTAGGCTCGCTAGTTCTCCTCTGCCTTTCCCTAAAGCTGCGCTCCGCTGTCCCTGAGGATACGGCCTGGCTGTAGCTAATGTTAGCGCTAGCTCGAGACTCCAGTGCTCGGAGACGCAGCTCTAACTCACTGACCCTGGATTCCAGAGCTACGACTACACTACACTTCACACATCTATCACTACCCTCAGAGAAGGATCCAGGGTTTAGACTCGCCATATGGCAACTCGAGCAGTAAAGGATTGAGGGAGAGACAGCAGCCGCCGTAGTAGCGAGTTAGCGGCTAGGCTAGGCTAAGCTAGGCTAGGCTAAGCTAGTACGGATCCGGGCCCGCACAACAGACTCCGAGACCAGACAAACAACCGCTACCTAAACCTCAGCTGCAGTACAGCTGACTCGGAGTGCTTACACAGTTAGCTTGGTGTACAATACGTGGATTTGTAATGTGTTTGTTAGTGCAAACAGAGAGCAGAGTGATAGCAGTCAAGAAACACGCTCACCGGATACAGGAAGTCACGTACAATAAATCCAGGAGCCTCATTTCCACCGAGAAAAGTAGTAAGCCCACCACTTCTTTGAAAGGGAAATATTGAAACCAATCTCCAGATTTCATGACTGTAAACTATAAAGAGTGCTGTCTTGATCACTGAATGTCATATGGAATAATACAATTCCGTATGGCCGCGAACCAGTGCTAAAACATTATCTATAATCTGGATCAGGGAATTTATTTCTATCCCAAATTCATTTTATACTAAAGATATTTCACATTTACTGTTTATAGTATTCCCTGATCTCAAATAACTCCCAAGCTACAGCTTTTTGAAGTCTTTATACAATAATTAACATGTTCCAAAATGGCCGCCGCCTTGATGACATCACAATATGCAAATTAGACGATGAATCACCTTCCATCCCAAAGTTTGGTTCAAACTGAAGATATTTCTAATTTACAGTATGCCTTTATCTCAAACCATTTTAAAGTTATAGACTTATAAAGACGTATATATCACTATGAAGATAAAACAAATAATAATGAACAAATCAATTGCATTGTCTTTTTACTGCTTTTTAGCTTTGTATTAGCTCCAAAAAGTACTTATTCCTTGGTTTTTATACATGGTTAATGTAGAGGAAATCTTGTTGGTCCCAGGGTTGACCCTTGTGGAACCCCTCATGCCATTTTTCAATTTAACACAACATAAAAACGTACTTGAAATCACAATTCACTCATAAAGCGACAGTAAAAATACAATACTTTCATAAGGCACTAAAAGTTTATTTTTTAATTAATATTTTGTGGAATAAAGTAATAAATACATCAAACCATCAGACAGGAGAGGGAGAGGAGGGGATAATCTATAACTGCAGACTCTCTTTGACCATCTCGTTTTTCCAGGATACATTGTGTTCAGCGGTCCCCGGCGAGCCAACGGCGTGCAGGGCCTCCGCTTCATCATCCAATCAGAGAAGGCGCCTCACTACCTGGAGAGCCGCGTGGAGGCCTTCCTCTGCACCATGGAGAAGGCCGTGGAGGAGATGAGCGAGGAGGCCTTCCAGAAGCACATCCAGGCCCTGGCCATCCGCAGACTCGACAAACCCAAGAAGCTGTCGGCCGAGTGCGCCAAGTACTGGGGCGAAATCATCTCCCAGCAGTACAACTTCGACAGAGGTGAGCGAGGAGGGACACATTCTGTTAGATACATTTTACAAAAATAAGTTTACATTTATTTTTAACTGTTGGAACACTGGAAATGCACAATAAATTGGTAAATCATCAATCAATTAAAAGACCGAGTAGGGAAAGAGTATTAACCTCTGAGATTTCATATTGAGACTGGGATCTGCCTCCACGCCTGGACACGCTGTAGACCCAGAGACTGAGGCTGTAGACCCAGAGACTGAGGCTGTAGACCCAGAGACTGAGGCTGTAGACCCAGAGACTGAGGCTGTAGACCCAGGGACTGAGTGCGGCTGAAGACCCAGGGACTGAGTGCGGCTGAAGACCCAGGGACTGAGTGCGGCTGAAGACCCAGGGACTGAGTGCGGCTGAAGACCCAGGGACTGAGTGCGGCTGAAGACCCAGGGACTGAGTGCGGCTGAAGACCCAGGGACTGAGTGCGGCTGAAGACCCAGGGACTGAGTGCGGCTGAAGACCCAGGGACTGAGTGCGGCTGAAGACCCAGGGACTGAGTGCGGCTGAAGACCCAGGGACTGAGTGCGGCTGAAGACCCAGGGACTGAGTGCGGCTGAAGACCCAGGGACTGAGTGCGGCTGAAGACCCAGGGACTGAGTGCGGCTGAAGACCCAGGGACTGAGTGCGGCTGAAGACCAGGATGAGTGCTGGCTGAAGACCCAGGGACTGAGTGCGGCTGAAGACCCAGGGACGAGTGCGGCTGAAGACCCAGGGACTGAGTGCGGCTGAAGACCAGGACTGAGTGCGGCTGAAGACCCAGGGACTGAGTGCGGCTGAAGGCTGAAGACCCAGGGACTGAGTGCGGCTGAAGACCCAGGGACTGAGTGCGGCTGAAGACCCAGGGACTGAGTGCGGCTGAAGACCCAGGGACTGAGTGCGGCTGAAGACCCAGGGACTGAGTGCGGCTGAAGACCCAGGGACTGAGTGCGGCTGAAGACCCAGGGACTGAGTGCGGCTGTCGATCCTGTCTCATAATCTGGGAACAATGTTTGCACTGAGGCTAAAACTACACGGTGTCAGCTCCAGAGTCCATTTGATTTGACTACAATTGGTTCTCGGTCTGAAGAGAAAATATGTCTTCAAATTTGACAACCAATTGTTAGAGACTTGTACATGTTTGCTAACCTGCGATAATCTTGTTCTGCAGATAACATTGAAGTGGCCTATCTGAAGACCCTGACGAAAGACCACGTCATGAATTTCTACAGAGTGAGTTCAGCCAGTTAAACTTTATAACTCAACATGTTAAATACCTCCAAAAAGTACTCATTCCATGGTTTTTGTACATACACTGAAGTTCATTTATATGCAATATTGTTGGTCCTAATACTGACCCTTGTGGAACCCCTCCTGTGAGTTTCTGATTTAAAACAGCAAAATATACTTATAAAATAGTTTTTTTTACTGCAGCTTTGACCGTGAATCACAAAGTACTTTCTCCCTTTTGCAATAGTCCAGAATAAAATGATTCTTGTAATGCCAGTGGTTAGTTAGCGAGGCGTTAGTTGCTGTTTTTTAATTACCAAAAATATCAGTTTTTTCAAAGTTACAGCTAGTTTTGGCAGCTCTTGTCGTGGAGCGTTCTTTATTTTCAGTTTGTTGACTCTGCGTTCTTGTGTTCCCAGGAGCGACTGAGGGTGGAGGCCCCGAAGAGACACAAAGTTTCGGTGCACGTCTTGTCGAGGGAGTTGGACACATGTCAGTAACACCAGCGACGCTTTTAAAGACTGAAAATGACCGAAGTCGCAGAGTAACATTTGTGTGTTTTGGTACAGGTCCCATCGTGGGCGAGTTCCCCTCACAGAATGACGTCAACCTGGCTCCGGCTCCATCTCTGCCTCAGGTACGTGGGTTTTTAGACTGCGTTTTCACAGAGGAAGGGTCAGTGCAAAATGTCAGGGTTAAAAAGTAGAAAAATAGACGTCTCTCTTCAGATCACATTTAAATTCAGTTTTAGGACCAAAGCATTTCAAATCTTATGTATTTTTGTTGAGTCAGAATCACAAAAGCAGTGGGCTGAGATCAGAGTGCTTGCCCATGGACACAATGGTAATGATTCCAAGTCAAATTGTTGTCATGAAATTGTCAAAATGCCAACGTCAGAATATAAAATCAAACGGTTGCAACACAGAGTAAATACAACCAGGTTAAAACAAAAATATTGCACATATGTCTGTGTTTTTTTTTTTTTTTCAAATGTTAAAATTATTAGCAGCACATTTTTTACTACTCCCTCTGGTGGCAGCAAATGGAGTTACAGGCAAAAAGCTTTTTTTAAATTTATTTTTTACCTTTCATACTTCGTACTTGTTCCACCAAATATTGTCTATGTCCATCCATCCATTTTCTTCCCTTTAATCCATTTCTGGGTCAGGGGGGTGGCAGTCAGAGATGCCACCCAAGTCTCATAGCACCAGCCCCTCACTGACCCTCTGCAGGTGGTGAGTCCACAGGAGGACGGCTGCTCTCTGAGTGTGAGCATAGCCTTGATCTTTCAGTGGGGGCTTTGGGCAAAGTGGGGTTAAGTGTCTTGCCCAAGGACACAACGACAGCAGTCATCAGTGGGAGTCGGTGGAGAAGGTGCAGAGGTGGGAATTGAACCCACGACCTTCAGGCCTGAAGGCCAATGCTCTACCAACTGAGCTACTGTCGCCCCCATATTTTCTATGTTCTAAAGTAAATAATCTAATGTACTGTTTTAATGGCTAAACATAATGCATAATATTTCTTCTCTTTTCTCCTTCAGCCGACTCTGGTGCAGGACATGACTGAATTCAAGAGGAACCTGCCGCTGTTCCCTTTGGCAAAGCCCCACATCAACTTCATGGCAGCCAAACTGTGACCCCCACGCTGTCCCAGGACCAGACCGGACCGGACTGGACCAGACCGGAGCGGGAGGGAGGGGGGCGGGCTCATCTCCCCCACCTCTCCACTTCGTCACAGACTGCATGTAAGGCAGGGCTAACGCTAGGCTGTGCTAACGGTAGCCACCATCTCCACAATAGGACTAGCGACGACGGCGTTGAATCCCAATCACTCGAGTAATCGCTGCTTTTGTCGAATGAAGAGACGGGGCAAACGTTGGCAAAAATATTCACTTTGATTCAATGCATCTGTGAAGGACTTTGCCTTTATATTTATGGTTTTAAAAACGTTAGGCTGTGTGTAGTAAACGCACATGCGCTGGTAAAATGCTGGGACTCTAAGGAGCGATTTTTAAAAATGATTTCTCTTTTTTACACTTGCTATCGACATCTCAGGGTACTTCCATCGCCGGTTTTACTCGAGTATTACAGCTGAAATTAAAAAGCAGCTTGACTTTAGTAACAATAATTTCATTTTTCTGTGTGTTTCGTTCTGGAAAGACTGTCTTTCCAAAAGTGGCTAAGCTAGCGTCCAATCAGCTGTAAAACACAGAATTTATAATCTCTTCTTTGTATTTTTTGTTTGTTTGTTTGGTGAGAGACAAAATATGAAAAGCCACGTCCCACGTTAGACATTTCAACAACATACCTTTTCCTTACGATACACTTTAAGATAAATAGTAAAATAAATAGTGTTTTTAGCTCCATCCATGCTAATATATCAGGCGCTCTGGCACAAATCAGCACTCAGGCATCCCCCCACCCCTTCTGTATCAACGCTCTATTATCAAACTCTTTCCATTATGACAGCAGAGTGTGTATGAGGAGTGGGCTGACTCCACCGTGCTTTGCCCATGGACACAATGGAAGATTTCAAGTCAAATTTTAAGCCAGATTCGAACCCCTGACCTCAGTATCCAATCCAAGTTATGTTAAATGTCTACTGCAATGTCCAGGGGTGTTTTACTCACTCGAAATGATTCACATTGGGTTAAAAATAAGTTTTAAAACACAAAAATACATGACTTTTATTACAATGTGAAGCAGAAAAATAGTCACTTTTTCAACTCAAAGTTACTGAACCAAACTCTACAATAAAGCTGTTTTTAGGTCAATCTAGTAATAACCATAAACAAAAAAAAATTAAAATCTTCAATCTATTAACATCCGCAAGAGAGTATAGAAGGTTTTTAAAGTGGAAAAAGAGGAGAAAATGCTGTAATGTCGGCGGGTAACGCTGTCATTACTGCCTTTTGGAAACCTCCATTGTGTTCCTTTTTAGAGGACAAAAGTCTAAAACATAGACTTCAGATTTAATGTTTAACTTCTTAGATACTGAGGTAAAAGTTCTGGACTGGAGAAACATGTAGATTAGAGAATACGTCGGTTTGAATGTACACAGATCCAAGCAATAACCTTAAAAGGGCCGAACTTAAAGGGGACGTATCATGGTGGTCTGAGTGGACTTTTCACAGCTGTTTTACCACTTTATAGTTTCGCCTCATAGTTAACACACATACACACAAAGCTGTTTCACACACACACACACACACATACACACATACAAAGCTGTTTCACACACACACACACACACACACATACAAAGCTGTTTCACGCTCACACACACACACACACATACAAAGCTGTTTCACACACATACATATACACACGCACACAACAGTTTCACACACACTTTTTGAAAAATCTCCTGAAAAAATTGTCAACTTGCTCTGCACAAAACAAGCTGCCGTTTTAGCCAATCATATTCCATCCATCCATTTTCATCCGCTTTATCCGTTGCCGAGTTACGGGGGCAGCAGTCCAAACAGAGACACCCAGACTACTCTATCCACACACACACTTGCTTCAGCTCATCTGGGGGAGTCCAGAGGTCCCCAGGCCAGAGACAGACAGTACCGGAAGTGTTAAAATAGATTAAAAAGCGCATCTAAAAATATCATTCAAATATATTTTTTATTATTTTGTATCAACACAAAGCAAGTATTTCTGTTTCTTCCAAGAATTTCGAACCATAACTTATATTTTCGCTAACCAGTGCAGGTCAGAGTCTGCGTTTCTGGAATAATTAGTCAAGTTTGATTTTTAGACGTGCTTTTCTCAGGTGCTCGTAAACACCCTAACCCATTACCAAACGGCCACTGGTTTTTTCATTCTTTTGTTTTTAAAATCCAGTCCCCGACCCATTTCACGTCTTCTCGATAGTGTTCCAAGGTCTCCCACCATTTTACCAAGTCACGCGTATATCTTCGTCTCTACTTTTTGGTCCGAAAACCCAAAGACAACCAGCACCTGTGTCATCGTAGCTGAAAAAAAAGTTTGAAAAGCGTGATTTCTGAGGTTCCTGCAGCAGCGAGAGAGGGCTGTAGACTTCTCTCTGTAGGACCAGCGTTTGGACTTTATCCGTGTGTTTTTATTTTGATTTCCTGGATGTAAACTCGCCGTGTGATTGGCTAGAGTCAAAGTGAGGTTTTAAGTTTGTTTTTAAGTTGTTTCTAATGAATAAAATAATTGAATGGAAAATTGTCTGAGTGTTTTTGTGCATGTCACTTTGAAAAGTTACACGTGGGTTTGCGATTTGGGTCGGTTTTTGCACAGCCTGGAGTCCCAATATGCCCACAGCAGATTAGAAAATCAAACCGTTCATTGGTGAAGACGTTATTGTAAAGGCATTAACTACAGTTTGTTTTCCCTCAGACATAAAGTCCGCATATACTTTTTCAATTCCATTTATTTTATTCTTGTCGCCTTAAATCACATTAGTTATCTTGGAACCCCTGTGTGCCCAGAATTGTGAAGTTTTTGAAGAGCGTTATATAAAACCGATGTATTATAGATTTGTTGTTGACAAACTCTTCAGTTATAATGGTCCCAGCTGGATTCGTCTGCATATCTGGCAACCCGAGTCAGGGAGAGGCTGCAGTACCACTTTGACAGATTTTTACATACTGCTCCTTTAAAACTGAAGTGTTTACTGTACAGACACCAACACTTACTAAACTCAGACCTGTTTTCGTTGTATGTGAACAATAAACACACTTTACTGTTTGGAAAAATACATTTATTCACAAGAGCGTCGATAAAGTCCACAGTCGTGATTCTGTATCTGAGGCACCTTCACTTTGCACCGGGTTAAAGGAGACATACCATGCTCATAGGTCTGACCAGAGCCAGATCCTGGAGCAGACACCAGGATCAGAAAACTTTTGACTGAGGATTTAAAATGAGGTATGACGTGCCTGTATAGATTTCACATTTGGCGGCGCTGAAGTTGGCTGAATGACATGGATCTTGTTTAACACCAGCTACACGTGATATGTCTCCTTTAAAAGCAAAACTTCCTGTAGATTAGGACACATGGACGAGAAATTAAGAAGTCGTCTTAACCTGGAATTTTATACAACGAACAAAGCAAGAAATCTTAACGTTTAACTAAGCAGCTGTTCGAACTGTACACTTTAAAATATATATCCATTTTCTTCCGCTTTGTCCATTGCCGGGTCGCAGGGGCAGCAGTCTAAACAGACGCCCAGACTTCATCCCTCTCCACACATACTTCCTGCAGCTCATCTGGGGGAATCCTGAGGCGTTCCCAGGCCACAGAGACTCGGTCCCTCCGTCGTGTCCTGAGTCTTCCCCTGGTCTCTTCGATACTTAAATATTCTCTATACAACTAAGATTCTGCTTAACTTTTATGGCTGCACCATTGAGAGTTTACTTGTTGGTTCTGTGTCTGTGTGGTTTGGAAACATCACAGATAAAGAAAAGAGAGCTTTAAACAAGGTGCTCCGCTCTGCAAAGAGGGCCGTGGGCTGTGAGCTTCCTGTTCTGGAGGTTCTTTATAAATCCAGACTTTTAAACAAAGCTCTTAGGATTGTTAATGACTCTTCTGGCCACCCTGGGAAAGCCATGTTCCAGCTTCTTCCCTCTGGCAGAAGATATCGCTCTCTGAGATGCAGGACATCTCGTTACGCTAACAGTTTTTATCCACAGGCTGTCATCAGTGTGAACAGAGCACTTTAATGATTTGCACTTGTTTTGAACTGTTTTAGTCGATCGATTTCACAGTGACAATTGTTTACTGTTTTATTTGTTTTATTTTTGTCTTTTAATGTTTTATGTCTGTATTTGTCTGTGCACACTGGAGACTTTTGCTAATGTATTCCAATGTGGTTTTTTTACTGCAAATGGCAAATAAACGGAATCTGAATATTCTTTCTTTTGACCCATTTATCAAATTTTACAGTGACATTTATTTTTCACCTTGTCTTGCCCGGGTTTCCCACGACAATCACCTCTGCCACGTAAGCAGCAGGTTTGAAGTCATTCAGCCTAAAAAATGGTTGCAGATCCGAGATATTCCTACTTTTCTGCTGCTTTTACGCAGCTAAAATCTTCCTGAAAATGTGAGACAGGCTTCTTCTCTAACGAGGTTCAAATCCAGGTTAAAACAACATCTGAAGGATTGTATTTTTACATTTTTGAATATACTGCAATTATTTATGATTTTTGATTTTACGTAAAGCACTTTTGACTTTGC